AATCTCTTATGCTACTATTATAATGCGGTACGATTTACATTATCATATTATCGTAACGCGTGAACGCGGGCCACGGTTACTACTACCTATATTATATTATGCGACTTGTGAAGCGATATAACATATATAGGGGTGGGGTGGGGGCTTCATATGCTTATTGTTATTAAAATTACAATAAATCACACACACACACACACACACACACACACACACACACACACACACTGCGATGAAGAACACGCGTGGCACTTTTAAATCTTGTGTAATCGCGCGGCGATGACGACTACAGTTACCGAGCCCGCGAAATGCGCGGAGAACGGCTCCGGACGTGCCGATCGGATAAGTCAGTAAGTCACTATAAGTAAAGATTAAATAGAGAAGACTATTCGTCGCCGTTGTTTTACAAGTCATAGTCGTTGTCCGGATCTAAGGTCGATTGGACTCTGGGGTAAACCTGCAGAAGTTATACACGAAATATTCTACTAACTGCAGCGTGATGACAGTAAGGTTAAAAGAAAAACAATTGAATGCAATCAAAACCTTTGCGAACCCCGCAAAGGCTGCAATAGGACGACGACGATTTCGTTTTAGATCGTAACTTTTGAATTGTCTGTTCTATTACAATATTGTTTGATAAATTCACTGCATTGACAACACATATTATAGTTTTTAAATATATTTATTTGAAATTGATTGACTTGAAACGAATACTATGGAAAAATAACCCACAGCATTGGTATTAGTTAATAATATTATTGTATTACTTAGTCTACCAATAAGCATGTGTGTGGTTGTAATGTGCGTTAGATACGATTGTATGGGTATAATAGTGGCACCTGACATTTAAATAAGATAAGAAGGAAACCCAAACGGATCACGAATCACTATCCTTATACAGTTATACCTCAGTTCGTGCTAACTTTATAAATACTTATACAAATTAGTGTAATTTAGGGTTGTTATATACATAGGTACACGAATAAGGTTCAAAATTTTAGATTCTGAGAGGAGTGAAAGAATGTAAGTATTGATTTTACAATGATGTGTGTTTTTTTCTGTCTGTCAGTAACATTTTGGGTAGTAAAAATGCTCAAATTCTCGAGATCAGCATCTTTTCTGATAGAAAAGTGAATCTACTTGGTACTTTTGGGGAGTTAAAATTGAAAATTCCAAGTAATTGCAGAATGTGTCAAGAAAAAAAAAGAGGTAATTTTTACACAAAACCAATTTATCAAAAATCGATTTAATTTTTTTGGTGTAACTCATATAGTCAATTATATAGACCCTTAACATTTTCACCAAATAAGTATATTAGCATTTTCCATAAATGGTAACATTTTAGAAATATTTTCTAAGTAAAAACTTTTTAACATCGTAAAAAAGCTTGGAAATGTAATGGTAGATTCTTTTAAGTTTCATAAATATAACTTATAAGTTCAGAAATATTAAAGATACATAGGCACGATTATTTTTTGTATGCATTTATAGTTCAAATTTTGACAAAATATATCAAAATTTCGAAAATGTTCAAAATGTATCTAATAGAAATTCATAAAAGTTTTTTCTTTTATAGCTAATATTGGACATTTTGAAAGAATACTCCCCACAAATTACCCTACCTTAAATAAGAGTAAAAATTTTACCAGAAAGTAATATTAATTTTTTATGAGTGTTTGAATTTAAAATATTTACGATATTTCATTTTCATTGGTAAATTAATGAATTATCATCTATCAATTTGTTGTAATTAAAAAACAAATTATCCTAGTTCCTTGAAATTTTCACCAAATATGTAGCTAATTATATTAGCGTTTTCCATGTATGGTGACATTTTCAAACAATTTCGACTCTTTATGAGCTATTTATAGCCATGAGAATATTTTTCAAATTTTTCAAATTTTGTAAATTATTTTTCAGTTAGAAATTCATCAAAGTTTTTCTTTTCATAGCTAACATTGGACATTTTAATAGAAGGTTTCCAACAAGTTTTACTACCTCTATCAAAAATAAAAAGTTCATCGGAAAGTTACGCTATTTATAGCCATGAGATATTTTCGAATTTTATCAATTTTTTTTTACTATTAAATTTGATTATTTATACAAGTATGCTATAGAGTATAGTGAATAGGTTGATACAATGTCTCCGTTCAGAATCGTTTTTCGTATACAATGTTTGATCATTGAATTCAAAAATAACACATATCCATTACAACGACATGGTTGACAACTATTAACTACTGAACAGCAGAGCGGTACCTACTTGTCCTTCTTTTTGTTCGAATATAGGTATACAAAATAATCTACAGGAATGTGTCGTGAATGACAAAATAAGAATAGTTTAAAAGACTTATATAAATACACAATATATGTTAACTTTAGTCTGTAGAATTAAAATATTTCTTGTTGTTTTTCAACTAACACGACTACTAGAGTGGCCATTTTAAAATGCAACCAATAATACTTCAATCACATTGATAAATTATTGTTAGTACCTATAATACTATAATAGTATGTATCAGTGATAGTATTGATAATAAAATAAATCCTATTAACTTTTTCGTTCTAGAATAATAAATGTATAATGTATAATAGTAAGAATAATAGTATACACGTTTGATTAATATGTTGGGTATTACGCATATTTGTGTACGACAAATTGTTTTTATGACAAGTTTAATTGATTGTTTTTATTTAATGTCATATTCTGAAAACATAATA